TGCAGGATTAGAGCTAAGAAGCAGCACAGCGACCCCGGCCACCGATCCTGAGTCCTTGGTGCATTCCTCCCTCCCAGAGCAGGGCCACTACCCTGGCACAAATGGACACTTTGTTGATGATGTCACAGGGTGGTAGTGTTGCCTGTACAATTTTTACACCTATGTATTGGGGTTCAACTTGACCTTGTACATGGCTGCTCAAAGTTAATTGAGAAGATAGAATTTTGTTACACACAGAAACTTGATTTAATACAGACAATTATAATTGGAATCATAGGCAAGGATCTATACACATAACGATAGACTAAGATAAGTATAGTAAAGAGGGTCTTGTACTGTGCATACTTACAAGTTATGGACACCATTGGAAACAAAGATCGAGGGGCAAGGGAGACCATCAGAAGGGAGGCCCTGCTTCAGTTTACACTGTCTTGGGGACCTGACAAAATGAAAAAATGGTAACTAGGAGAGATATTTTATCCACTTCCTTATGGTAACAGGATGGCTATATACCATATATGCTCCTTTACTCTGATTACAATAATGTCAATAGCTGCCCCAACCCATATGTGGCCTTTGGGAAGTCCATAATTAAGCATCAAGCATTAATACTCATGATTTACATCACTTATTTATTAATAATTCCAATATATGAATGCAGCTCAACTGCTGAGATACTGCATAGCAACCTAATTGCTAAAGCCCATCCCAACTTCCTTCTTTCAGAATCCTGTGGCGTATTGCACCTGTTTGTGGTTCCTTGTTAGTCTCTCGAAATGAGGGTGAAAAATATCTGACCTGGGATTCTCTTCTTAGGCCTATTCCTGTAAATCCCACACTTCAGCATAACTGCTCCCACAAAGCCTCAACGTAATATAAGTCCCTTAACTGTAGCAAGATTAATAACCCATTTATCTATGTTCACCTCCTTGCCACTCAATGCATGTTCCAAACTAATAAGCAATACTCTAATAATGACATTTTACCTCGAGTGAGTATAAAATTTCCCATGAGACATGAGACTAGGTCCTAGATCATAAAATGAGGTCGGGGTCAACAGAAGTGAGTTTGGAGAGAATCTTGTCCCCCTCTCTCTCCATCTGCAGCAGCCACAAGCTCTCTTCCCTCCAGGCTCCTTGGATCTTCGAGCCTATCCCTCCTGAGGTTGTGTGGCCCAGTTCTTGTTTCTTACATTCTCCTTTTCCAGAAGAATTAGAGGCTGTTGCTCCTGAATTTTAGTGTTTAATTCCCCAGCCAACTCCAGACACTGGGGGAGTTTAATTCGCCCTCCCATTACATCTGAGTCACTAGATTTTCTAATTCCCCCAAATGTGCTTTTGTGATGTCACAGTTCTGGGGTAGCTAAACCTTAGACCTGCCTCCATGGTGTGCTCAAGGAATGGCCTCTCAGGTATCAGTCCTCTAGCCAGCCCCTGTCTACGGGTGGGGACCCACATGCCTCTCCTTTTTGACCAGGGTTTGAGGATTGCAGCTTGTCCTCCACTGTGTTCACTGGACTAACGGTTTCTCTCCAAAGGCTGTGAGCAGTGTGTGTGTGATAGAGGTGGGAATTTTGGTGATACTTCTATGATGCCAATACACACTTCAGTTTCCCTCTCTGATTGGTATTGCTATGATTATAAAGAGCAGGAGACATGAGGTGTTTGTCACGTAGCTGTCATGGGGTGATATGAATGGGTCATTATGGACTGGCTGGGGCCAACCTACATCAATGGAATACCCGACAGAGACAAGGAAATAATTGTCACCTGTCCACGGGAGGATCTCCCCTTGGCTGAGTAAAGCATACATGGGCTCGTCATGTTTTTGGGAGCAGGAAGAACTGGGCTCACAGATGCAGAAAGCTCTTCCAGAGCAAAGACAAATGGACAGGCACAGTGAAAGGAAACACAACTGTTTTCTACAGCAGCATGACTCAAGGGCATTGGCCAATATGGACTATATTGTCTTCTTTGCTTCTCTGTGCTAAGCTAAGGACTTTCCAATGCTGTGTTTTGGTTGACTAATAAACCCTGCTATGTTTTAAAAGTCTGCCCAGTGTGACAGCAAAAACTTCCTCTGTGCGTTGAATGAGGAACACACATAGTAGAATCCACACAGGAGAGACGCCCTACACGTGCTCTGAGTGCGGGAAAAGCTTCAATTGGAGCTCAAACCTTGTCGCACATAGGAGAATCCACACTGGTGAAAAACTTTATGGATGGTCTCAGTGTGGGAAACGCTTCATTGATAGATCAACCCTCACCTCACATCAGTGAATCCACATAGGAGAGAGGCCCTACACATGCTCTGAGTGTGGGAAAAGCTTCAATCAGAGCTCAAACCTTATCAAACATCAGAGAATCAACACAGGAGAGACGCCCTTCACATGCTCTGAGTGTGGGAAACGCTTCAGTTATAGCTCAGCCCATACCACACATCAGAGAATCCACACGGGTGAGAAACCTTATGGATGCTCTCAGTGTGGGAAACGCTTCATTCATCGTTCAGCCCTCATCTCACATCAGCGAATCCACATGGGAGAGAAGCCCTACACATGCTCTGAGTGTGGGAAAAGCTTCAATCAGAGCTCAAGCCTTATTAGACCTCAGAAAATCCACATGGGAGAGAACTGTAATAAATGCCTTGACTACGACTGGCCAAAGATTTTTGTTTTAATCTCATTTTCTAATTCCCATATAACGATCATCGAAGAGAGACTGACTGCCAGGATCCCAGGACTGATCTCCTCTGTGGAATGAAGCACAACGGCAAAAGGCTGTGTAGCCTTCACTAGTCTCCTTGTACCTGAAAAGCCTGCTAGCCTGAAGTGCTGGGCCATCTGTCATTACCTGGTTCCTCAACTGCAGCTACAGTTCCTACTCCATGTGACTCCAAAGCCGAATAGCTGCAGAGATCCAACACCTTGTAATCTTTGCAATTTATTTTCCTTTTTCTATTTTTGTCTATTGTTTTTTATGGACGTGGAGCCTTCCAGCCTTTCTATTCGATTGGGGTGTAACAGTGTGGCTCAGTAGGTGTGAGTGTGTGAACACTGAAATCTACACAGGGAAGATGCTCAGAATAGTTCCCCAAATCTTAATAGCCTTAAAACTCTGCCCTATGAAATGACTTCAGGCATGCTCCTTTCTCTATGGAAGCATTGCAAGGAATTGAGCTGTCAGATGTACATTGTTCAGCAAGAGCTGTTTGAAGTTCTTTTACTGCTGTCTCTATAAGGTCTGTCTGTGTGTTTCAAAGGGACTCAATTTATGCCTTTGGGATGGAGTGGATCGCATTTCCATAAGGGCCAGCGGTAAAGCCGCTGGCCAGCTTAACCCTGTAGAGTCACAAATTTTAGGAAGCTTATTCTTAAGTACACCATTTGGTCTTTCAACTGCACCTGCGCTCTGTGGGTGATAGGGACAGTACAACAGGTGTGTGATATGTAATACGTGTAATACACGATCCAGGTGTTGAACAAGTTGTCTGGTAAAATGTGTACCCTGATCACTGGACAGAGTGGCAGGAATTCCCTTGGCAGGCATAATATGATTTAACAAACATTTGGCAACAGAGAGTGAGTCAGCCTTGCAACAAGGAAAGGCTTCGATCCAACCAAAAAATAAACATACCATAACCAAAATAAATTCATATTGTTGACACTTAGGCATTTGTACAAAATCAAGTTGCCAATGCAAGAATGGTGCTTGGGGCAGGCCCTGGAACCCCTGAGCCACCTTTACAGGTTTACCAATATTGTGGCTTTGGCAAGTGGTACAGGCGGCACAGTGGTGGGCTGCAAAAGAGCTGAAATGGGGGGCCCACCATCCTGCCTTAGTTACAGCAGAGACCATCCTCTCCTTTCCGACATGCGAAACACCATGTAGCAGGACAGCCAACGATGGGTAGAGTGAAAAGGGGGCCACAAAGGCACCAGTAGGCGAACGCCAAAGGGAATCAGGATGTAGAGAGCAACTCTGGGCAACCCACGAGTCTTTTTCAGGTTCTGGGGCAGAGTCTTGGAGCAGGGTGAGGTTAGTAAGGGATGGAGGTGGTATAGAAACAGAAAGGGAACCTAGAAATGCATCTAGGGAAGGTTTTATGGCAGCAGCATGTTTAGCAGAGGCATCAGCAAATGCGTTACCCTTAGCAACATCAGTATCCGCCATCAAGTGGCCAGGGCACTTAACAATAGCTAGGGCACACGGAAGTAAAACTGCATACAGGGGAGCAGTAATTTAGGGGCCATTTTTGATAGGGGTACCGGCGGAGGTAAGGAAACCCTGAGCTTGCCAGAGCCTGCCAAAGTCTTGTACAACCCCAAAAGCATAGCGGGAGTCAGTGTAAATGGTGGCGGAGCATCCCTCTGCCAAAAAACAGGCACGGGTGAGGGCAACTAATTTGGCAACTTGCGCTGAGGTTACAGAAGGTAAGGAGCAGCTTCTAGAGTTTCAGAGAGTGACACTACAGCATATCCTGCAAGGAGACGACCTTGATTGTCTCGAAAACAGGAACCATCAGTAAACAAAACAAGGTCAGAGTTAGGGAGAGGGACATCAGAAAGGACAGAGTGTGGGATGGTAACAGCAAAGACAGTTGCAAGGCAGTCATGGGGATCACCATCATCAGACAAAGGAAGGAGAGTGGCAGGGTTTAACTGAGAACAACACTTTATGGTGATATATGAAGCCAACAGCAGTAGAAGTTCATACCTGGTGTGGAGGAAAAAGTTTGCTAGGGCCTAAACTTTAGTTGTCTCGGGCCTGAACTTTGGTTCAGACCTGAAC